TTAATCCTTTAGCCATTTCATTCCAATTCTCAAAATCACAAATATCTTTAGTATCTTTATACCTACCTCCAACAATCACCACTTGAGCTATAATACCACAAAATATCATAAGAATCTCTTGATCTGTTGGGCATCTCCTTACCACTTCCAGAATCATTAATATCCAAACATCATTTCTCACGCTTTCGGATCATAAAATCTAAGCTCTGATACAACTAAAAAATCACAGCAATCTCTTATTTCTTTTGATCTATTTTTCCATCTCCTTTTAATTTTCAATAGACAATTCTTCAAATACGCATAATATTTCCTACACGTCCGACATCTTAAACGTAGAGTGTACTACCAAACTTATATTCAATAAAAGGACATCATAAACACCAATCGTACCATTTCAACTATTCACATATGCAAATTTTCAAGCCTATTTATTTAGTCACAAATGATCATTTCCTAGGGTATACTTCATCTAAAGAGTAAATCGTACCTCAAGCTCTGTTATCACTAAATATTATGAAAATCTCTTATTTCACAATCTTCTTTCCAACCTCATTCCCATTTTCTAAAAATCACTAATATTACAAATATCACTCCACATACATCTAGATCGCATAACCTAAATTTTGATAACATTAAAAATCACATGAATCTCTTATTTCCTTTAATCATCTTTTTCTTTTCATCTTATTTCAATTCTCAAACCCCTAATACCTCAAAAACCATTTCACATACTTCTAGACCATATAACCTAAGCTCTGATACCACTAAAAATGTCACGCCCCGAGCCCGCACGTGCCCGTCACATGACATCCGCCGTGCTCCCAAGTTCCACTCAGGAATACAACGCTACATGAACTAATTTAACTTTAACAGCACTAAATAATTCAACTAAATAAAGTGCGGTACGAATTACATATAAGAGAAAGTCCACAAATATTCAAGACATTCGTACATTTATTCTCCAATTGAAACAGCGGAAACAAGAATAAACATGACTAACAACTAGAAGTAGCTAGTCTACCAACTTCTATTCATTTAAAACTAATAAAAGTCATCCTCAGGATCTTCTACGTAAACCAATTCATACACTTCAGAATTTGTAAAAATGGTAAGAAGTGGGTTGAGCGACACATCACTCAGTAGGCAATATTTACCCCTCTGTTGGACCATGCAATCTTAATTTTATAGATACATAAGTATACAAATACAACTCAAAACATTTGCATATCATTCACATCCGTGATTTTGAAAGTAACGTTATTTATAAAGAATTCAGCAGTAAAGAAGGACAAGTAATTTTAAAGCATCTTATTGATAGTTGTACATGAAAAATCGTAAAGTCATAAATCATTTTATCTCAAGTCACAAATCTCTTCATATCCATTCGTAAATCAACTCATATCAGTTCATAAGTCTCATTTCAACTCAGTTCATAAATCATTCCATCAGATCAGCTCATAACAAGTACATGCAATGACCGGCTACTGAGTACTCAGCCTAGAGATTAGACCCCATCTAGGTGGGTGACCAATAGATTTCATGACTATCGATTGATCTCATTTCATTCTTGGGTCAATCGACCGGACTTTATACCAGGCTACCATGGCCTTGCCAATCGGCCGGACTTTATACCAAGTTACCATAGCCTTGTCAATCGGCCGGACTCTATACCAGGCAACCATGACTTTACCAATCGGCCGGACTTTATACCAGACTACCATGGCGATTAGACAGGACTATAGCCCCTACCGTCTATTCCATGACTGCTCTGAGTTTTACTTGTCAAAATTCATTTCATATATCATATACATAATTCTTTGCTTTCATAATAGATTCAGCTCATTTTGTATATAAGAACATATCAAAACATTTCAAATAAGTCACATGGTCCATTTTTGTATAGAAGAATATAGCTTTCATAAATATCCAAATAAAACATTTAATCAAACACCTTTCAAGTTAACACAACAAAATAGAATTGAAAACAAGAATTTCATTTTGCACATTTGAAATCTCAGAAGGGTAAGTACCACCTACCTCTGTTTGGCTGCTCGAGTGGAACTACCTTAGGTCCTTGTATTGCACCTATCAAACGCATAGTTTCCCTAATTAGTTGCTACTTCCTATAAATGGATAAATACACAACTCCTAAGTAAGTACAAGATTCATATCCAGACCATTATATAGACCCTAATAACATTCCCCTCAACTCGTACGATTTCTATTTTTTGGAAAGTTTTCTGATTTGAAAAGTTTCTATTTTTAGAAAGTTTCTTAATTTGGAAAGTGTGCATTTTGCAAGGCTTCCTAATTTAGAAAGTTTCTTAATTGAGAAGGTTCTCCTTTTTGTAAAGTTTCCTAATTCAAAAGAAGATAATTATTTATTATTATTATTATTAACGGTATCGTCAACCTTATTATTTACTAACATTATTGTTATCCTCATTGTACTATTACTAGCATTACTATTATTATTATTATTTTTATCCTTATTGTACTATTACTAGCATTATTATTATCATTATTATTATTATTGTCCTCGTCGTCGCTAATTTATTTTATTACCACTTATATATATGTTAAATAGTTACTATTACCTTTCCCTTTATTTCCACTTTTATGCGTGTGTAGGTGTTATTATTATTTATGTATATATGTACATATATATATTGGCTTATTATAATTATTATTGTCTTAGTTTATTCCACTCGTATTTATATTTTTGTCTTTGTTTATATCCTTAATTTATTTCCTCCATACCCATATTGTTAATATCCTTACTATTATTGTCTAATAATTATTGTTTACTATTATTATTATTATTATTATTAGTGTCATTGTCCGTATTATTATTTACTACTACTACTACTATTCTTATTATTATTTTAAGCGTCTATCTTACATTATCTAAATTAACCTAGTAAGGCTAGATTAAGATGTTTTCAACTTCCATTTTAGTATCTTAGACTTAATCAATTAAGTATAATTTTGCCTGACTAAATCTTCAATTCTAACAACTACTATAAGTTGGGTCCTGAATTTTAATACCCATAATAAACAATAAAGATGGCCTAGCTATTCCTAAAATTTATTTACTGTATATTCACTAAGCCCATACTATCTTTCTAATCCAAATATACTTGCCATCATATATAAACGTGTGTGTGTTTGTATATATATATATATATATATATATATTATATTATATTATTACTATGATTATTATATATATATATTTTTTTTCCTTGGCCATCCCTGCCAGGCCCTTTTTGTTTCTTACTTCACCTGGCGTTGCCAAGTAGCGCCGCAACTCTTAACTTCAAAAAAAAAAATTTTTTTGGTCTTCTCGAATTGGTCAAAAGGCCAATCCTTTTGCAATTGCTTCCTGTCGCCAGCCATGCGCTGGCGACTTCCTCTTTTCCTTTTTTTTTTTCTCTTGGGTTGTTGCGTTGCTATGCTGAAGCTTCAGCAACGCGTACAACGGCAACGGCAGGCGCCGCTGCTCCTCTCTCTCTCTCTCTCTCTCTCTCTCTCTTTTTAACTTTCCAACAATTTGGGTAAATCCTATTCATTCCATAATAAAAATTTAATGCCTTAATCTTACTATTCCATATATGAATCCTCCTAAATCTCATATACAAATATATATCTCTATATATAACATAATATATATATCTGTAAAATCTTTAGGATAATTAATCCGACTAATAGAACTTAAAAAAGAAGTTTCACATGAATTTAGGACTTACGAGTTTAGAGACCTAGTCGTCTGATTGATTGATGGCGACGCCTGTTTCTCCTTCTCTACTCTTTGACGGCTCTTGCTCTAAGGGGAGGCAGACAATGAAAGGTAGGGAATAGGTTTTTTTTTGTGTGTTTAATAATTGTGCTAAACCCTAATAACCACCCACTAGGAGGTAGTTTAGATAGGAGTTTTAACTATAGTGAACTTTTACCCTACTTTATCTCATCTTACTGTGAAGACCTCAAAAATTTCATTATCCTCTGGAAAATTAAATCAAAATATTATTGAAAATATTAAAATTATCCAATAATATGTATTTATATTTAAATAATATTGTTTTCAATCATTCAAATGTTACATTTCAATTTATTTGAATTTTTAAGATTTAATTGACGGTTTGCGTTCGGCAAAGCCCTAAGTTGAATTTTCGCGCACCGACGCGCGAATTAGTCCTAAGTTGAAATGTAGTATATGTAGAGGCTATAAAAAGGTATAATTAAGTTGGAGAAATGTTAGATGAGGAATGTGAGGACTCGCAATTTATTTCTTTCAAATTCCCATTCTGAGGTTATTTAATTAGTTAATTGTTCAATTATTTCGAATGTTATTTTCTAGCCCTATTGGACCCAATTCTATAGCATTATAGCTCATGAGTAATTTTAAGGCAATTAGTTCGCAATTCAAGTCTTGAAAGTTGTTAAGTGTGAATAGTGCCCGTAGGCTCAGGAATAGTAACTGACTTGAGAGTTCATGAGCCCGAATAATGGAAGATTTATACCCTAGTCTTAAAATAGGTATTTTTATGCCTAAACATCCATGTATTAGTTAGAAATGCCATCGTTATAAGAATTTCTCAAAAATTTCACCTTATCGCGCATAAGTGGGAAATACGCGTTTTACGCGCGCGATTTATTTGAAGGACTTTAGAACCTTATTTTGAGGTCATTGAGAGTGAATGATAATTACATGAATATATGTGCATTAGAGGTTTAGTGCACAGTTAAAACAAACCTCAGAGGAAACAGGCGCGAAACGCGCGCGCGATACACAGTTCACGGTTGACTTGGGAGCACAAAAGTTGTACCACACTCAAGCTTCTCAAGGAAGCTTTCCATTTCAGATTTTTCCCTCCCTTTCCCCTCACCATAACCGCCGGTCTCTACTCTCTCTCACACTCCAAATTTCACAATTTTTCCTCCACCATTTTCTTGCTCCAATTCACACCAAATTCACCACACAAGTTCAAGACAACTTGGACAATCACTTGGACAAAGAAGGAGCTGCACATTCACGGATTTTCTTGGGGCTTTTGGGACACCAAAATCTGACCTTTTAGCACACAAGTAAGGTAACCATGATCCACTCTTCAATTCTTGTTCAATGAAGGCCAACTCACACTTAAGAGCTTGATTATGCTTATGGGTAGCTTATTATTGTTGGAAATTGTTGACTGTGGGCTCTATGAACTCCCACTTTGAGTTGATGGCTGTGATGATGTTTGATGATGGTTTTATTGTTGAATTAGTGCTTAAGGAAGTAGATTAAAGGTGCATTATTGCTAGAAACTTCATTGAGCTCTTGAAGCAAAAAGTTCCGATTCTGCCCCTGCCAAGACCGACCTTTTTCATGCGAAATTCTGAGGTTTTAACGGCTTGTATTTGATGTTTATGTGTTGTTGGAGTTGTGTGTAAAGTTTCATTGAAAGATATTGAGGTTCGGTTGACCAAAGGTGATGAATTCCAAAAACCAGCAAAATCTGGAAATTTTTCCCGTATGGCTCAGGCAGCCATTTTGTTTCGATCATAACTCTGCCCTCCGACATCGAAATTGAGTGCCGTTAGCGCCATTAGAAGCTAGACTCTTCCAGCTTTCCAACGGTGTAAAATTCACATCCTGGTTCCACCTGAGTGAACCGTGGCAGTCTTTTAAAGTCACCTGTCCTGCTCCACTGGTTCACTGGAAGCCAGGATATGTGCTGCGTTTTGTTGCCAGATTTCGAGCTAGTTATGAGTAGAATTTTAAAACGATTTCTTCTGAAAAATTGTATCCCTGTGAGTTCAGTTTCCAACGCTACCAACGATGCTCAAATCTAAGTTGAATTGAATGAGATGTGACCAAAATACGAAAACGGCTCTGCTGTTGAACCAAACTGTCCAAATTTTCCCAGTTTGTGTTCGAGTTTTTGATCTGATTCTTGACAAGAAATTGAGCTTCATGGATTGTGTAAATGATAATCTGAATGTCTATGGTCATTTGAGGGAAAATGCACCACTTTCATAGTTGAAATGATGTTGAGGAATTGAAGGAAAAGGAAGGTATATGCTGTCCAAAAAATTCTGGAAATTTTCCAGATTTTAGTCGAATTTTGGGGGTCAATTTTGACAAATTTCTGAACTACTTGGGCTGTATACATGTTAACCTATATGGGTGGTATTGTTTGGGTGCAAATGTAGCTTTTGGGTTGTTGAAAAATTTTGGATAAATTGAAGGGGAAATGGACTACTTGCTACCGAATGCACCTGAAATTTTTCCAGCTTTGAATGATAATTGTGAACTGTTTTCACGATAACTTGAGCTCAAATGATTTGTGTATTAATTAAGGGGTTTGTATAGCTCAATTTGGGACAAAAATCTAGTAGAGGTTACGTCCAAAAAGTGGACCAAAATCTTATTCTTCAAGAAGATGCCAAAACAGAATTTTTGTTTGAAATTAGAAATGGTTTGATGTTTGGATTTCATTGTGGGTAAATGTGGACCAAAGTTGTCCCGAAAATGTTTTCTAGCATTAACCGTTGTTACTAGGTCCACTTTGAGTTGATAACCTTGAATTTTATTAGACCAAATGCCCTATTTTGAGGAATTTGTCAAATCTGGAAATTTTCCTAAAAACTCAAGTTTTTGCCTTCATGAAAATCATTGGATTAAGTTGGTCGTGGAATTTGGCAAACTTAAGGAGTTTCTATTTTATAGAAATTCTAACGACTAGTTTTACTTGGTTTATATGATTGCCTCTTAAAGGCAAAAACTCAAGTTTTTGCCTTCATGAAAATCATTGGATTAAGTTGGTCGTGGAATTTGGCAAACTTAAGGAGTTTCTATTTTATAGAAATTCTAACGACTAGTTTTACTTGGTTTATATGATTGCCTCTTAAAGGAATTTCCCAAGATATGTTTGGGAAAAATTTGAGGGAAAAATTCCTCTAAATGGTTTAAATGTGATTTTTCTCAACTTGTGACACCAAATTGGTGTTAAATGGCTTATATGATTCTAGAACTTGGATGTTGGAATATTTGACGAATTTAGCAAGTTTTTGGGTTTTAAAGAAACCTCAAAATTTAATTTCACTCGATTTGTGGATTTCATTTTAAATTCTTTGAGAAAACGATTAATACTAGTTTGGGATTTTTGAGTGAAATTAAATGCTAGTTGACTCGAGTTAAATTCGCCAACTCAAAAGTGGAAATTTATGTGAATTGTTTGTATGATTTTAGGAGTTGGTGAAGAGCACAATCTCGATCAAAGTTTGGAATTCTAGACACTTCACTTGAGGTGAGTGTCTCTTGCATGAATCGTGTTTAACTGCTAGTTGAACTACTTGTTAAAAGTACTTGCTAGAGATATCATGAAATGTTATATGCTATGTGATTGCGTGAAATGCCACAAGTACAAGTGTTGCAATGTCGATTGGAGCGTGGTCTCGTCGACTAAATAAACCAAACAGATGCATGTACCACGCTCTATTAGAGTGGGAGGTACCTCTCTGTCGTCTTGCTAAAAGTGCTTGCAATATTCGTGTTAGAGTCGGGCCCGAAAATAAGGGGGAAGACGTTGCTAGGAGATGTGTAGATTAGGGAAAATGTCTACATGGAGTTTAGGTAGTGAAAGTTGACGGAGTGTCAACTACTATAAATTTTCTGATCAAGTGCGTGGACTTTGGCTCCTGAGAGCCCCGTATCCTTTTCTTGTCATGTTATTTCGCTTTCTTAAATTGTTAAGTGCTTACTTGTCTATTTGTACTTGTTAAATTGCCTTATGTGAATTGCATGTTTCGAGGCACCACTGAGCTATTGGCTCATCCCTTCCAAATTGTTTTCCTTGACAGGTTCTGAAATGCATGAAGTCTTGGAGAACTAGAACAGAAATGTTATATTTTGAATGCCCACTTTTGTAATTGTATTTTTGGAAACGTTAGTATCTTTTGGATGATTTTTGTGTTTTTGGGAAAATGTGAATCCTGTGGTGCTTCTGTGCCCTGGATTAGGAACTTTAAATTGTAAATTAAGTTGAATTTAAGTATACTAAGCTCGACGTTTTCGTTGGTACTTGGAATTGTGTTTTGGGCTGTATAAGTTGAATTGTATGAATTATTTAAGTACGTGACTTGCTCGAGAAGTAAGGTTTATTTTCGATTTATATTTGGTGAAATTAGTTACTAGAGTGCGTGAGTCCTAGCGAGAGCTAGGCAGGCGACCCGCCAACCCTTTGGTTCGCCTTAGGGAGAAGTGGGGCCGCCACAGGTGGTATCAGAGCTTTAGGCTCCAAATCTCTGTAGTGTATCCTAGGCTTTAAAACTTAGGATGCCGGACTGTGGTGTTAAGTGATTATTGGATAGAATATTAGGGACTAGAGTTTCCTCTATTATAGGAAAAGAAAAGAATTGGGTGAGGTGATTTGAAAAGTAGTAGGTGAAATTCTTGAACAATAATACTAGTCGATATTTATCGGAACAAGTGTGACTAAGATAAACCCTAGAATTCGAGGTATCCTTTAAGGTTTTAATTTTATATATATATGGGTGTGAAATTGGGGAATGCTTCTTAGATTGACGGTTTAAGTAAGAAATCCTGTGAACCATCTATGAGGTATAATGGGGATTGAGTCGATTTGCACTTGGAAATGGCCAGTCCCAGTGTGAATTGACTTGGTTCCTATTTGACTCCTAAGTTAGTTAGTGTATCTATTCTTTGAGTTTGAACTCGAAGCTTGAGGCTTTAATTGAGAAACCTATGGATCTTTTGTGAGCCAAACCCTCAGTTGGTCCTCGTCCTTGCTTATGCATGATATAATTACTTGTTTATTCACTATTTTCTGTGCTTATTTGGATTCGTAAGTGTAACATGACTTTGTATGTCTCTTTTGAAGATGGAATGCCCTTTTGTAGTGCACTTGTGTACCTCCTTTGTTATAAATTTATGAAATATGATCTTTGACTGCATTCAAAACTTCTACTTTATTAATATATCGCCCTACGCTATTTTAAGTTCTGGTCCTCTATAGGAATTAAAGATGGTAGGAAGAGAGATTAGTGGCTTTCTATTGCCCAATTGGAGGAAGTTGCTCAAATCCTGGTAGGACATGATAGGAGCTAGGTGAGAATAGAGTTTAAGTTATGATAGAGGGATATGGACTTTAATTTCAAATGACCCTAGTAGGAGTTTTTCTTAAAAAGAGTATTTGGCTATGACCCTCTCCTAATGGTGATTAATACGTAAACGCGAATTAAGAAAAGAGTGGGACGTGGTCCTCTAAGTTAACTAGGAGTGACGCTTTTGGGTTGCTGGTCAGTGTTGGGATGGAAGTATAAGGTTGTCAATAACTAGAGATTGAGAGTTGTATTGCTACTACAAGGCCCTAAGAGAGTAATTTCTGACTGTAGTCGGGAAGGCAGGGTTTTGGAGAGATTAGGATAATTCCTCTAATTGAAGATTGCTGAGAGATCTATTGGAATGTGAGGAGCAGGATTTTTCCCCTATCACGTTTTGGAGACGGATGTACAAGTGGGAATTAGATACGAACATGGGATCTTAGAAAAAGCATACGCGTTAGCGTTTTAATCCGAGTGTAAATGATAGTAATGACAATTAAGGGTAAATACCAGAGTAGGAGTAGTGTTCTAGCACCTTTCTATGTCACCCTACCTGTGCTTAGATTTCTTGTCTATCCGAGTAAAGAGTAGCTAAGGTCAACTTTCGGAGGTCAGTAAAACGAGGACATGGCGAGTTTGGGAGAGATGCTTAGAGAAATAGAGGCTCTTCAAGAGAAAGTGGAATTTCAGACGAAACTAACGGAATACTGGGAAGGACGATGGAAACAAGAGTTCGTGAAGAAGCTTGAATTGGAGAAAAAGTACGTGGACATACAGAAGAAATACTATGAGGCGTTAGAGTTAATATATGACAAGTCCGAGGAAGTGTGTCCTCCTATCCCGATTGCGTCTCAAGGAGTGGTTAACAACCAAGGAAAAGGGGGTGAAGGAAGCTCCAATGGTTCAAAAAGGAAGCGCAAGGGAAGTGACGGGGATCTAGTACCAGTTTCCCTTTGTGATTATTGTAAGAAACCAAACCACTCTGCCGACAACTGTTGGAAAAAGAACTATAAGTGCTTTAGTTGTAGAAGTTCTAAGCATTTGGTGTCTAGCTGCCCACACAAAGTAGAGAGGGTTGTGAAGGATCCTTGATATCTCATTTGAACTTCCTGTACACTTTGGTATTCTTGTAGGAACTTTGGTACTTAATCTATGACTCTTAGATTTAGTATCTGGTGTTAAGGTGAATTGGTCGAGTTAAGTGCTTAGTACGACTCGTCCCTGGGGAAAACTTAAGCAATGCTTCGTATATATTTTGTGATCGGTCCCGTGGACAGGTTTTAATCTATTATGGATATTCAAACTTCTAAGTTTTACATCTAATTCCTTTGGTCCGACCTGGACCCATTACCTAATCGTTTGAATTAAATGGAAACCTTTTTTTTTTACTTTTTACTTGTACTCCACCAACACTACGTATAATTCCAAATACTTGTTGTCCCTTTTTCCACAAGTAGATATATTCCTAATAACACCGTTAATTTCAAAAGCAAAATTTTGTGGGGTTTAAGTGCATCCTTTTGACCAAATATTTACATGACCAACATTAAACATCTGCTAAATGTTGAGTCCATTTACAAATGTTGACGCTTTAGGACTAAAACCTAAATTTCGATAACTGCACGTTTAATTTTTTTTTTCTTCTCGACTCACCTTCGTACTAAAGAGAAAGAAAAACTTTCCCTTCCTTTTGACATATTTAGTACAAAACAGTTTTATTGGAAATTTGTAAACTCGATTGGTCAATTGTAAATTTGGACCACATTTTCTTACAAGTGTATTTAGTGTCAAAGGTCAATTTAATTATGATAATAATGTAAGAAGGCTTTTCCTCAACCAAATGAGATTTATAGTTAATAAGAATTTGAGGAAGGATTATTGTTAAAACCTCTTTCTTGTGTACGTCTCCCCTCCATATATATGTATATAAATCTACTCTTACTAGCTCAGTCTCAAATTGCAGAATTACTCTTCTTAAATTACTAGGGGAAAAAGGAAGTTTGAATTAATGATTTTGGTAAAAACATGGATTTTTGGGTCATGAAGAAAAGTCTGTACCTTTAACTCTGTTTGGAAAATTTAAAGTATATTTTTCCCATGAAAATATCCGTTATGCACGGAAGCCTCAATTATCTTTCTCGAATCGTGACTGATGTGTTTGGGACGAAATTCTCATTAGCCGTTTTTAGAGACAAAGAAACAAGGCCTGTACAAAGTTGCTTCTTCAGAAAATCGAGTGCTAATGAATGATTTCTTTGACCATTTTGAGTCCAGAGGGTTAGTAAGTCTTATCATTTCATTGGAAATATACCACTCTACTTTGGTTTGGAATTTATGACGGAATTTTAGTACATGGAATCATGGGCTTGGGAAGCCTAAGATGAACTCTGGTGTATTTCAAGTACTTGGGATTGCACAATAATGTCAGCTCCATTATAAGACGTATTTTGGCTTAGGTTGAAAAAAAAAAATTGACTTGAGGATCCTTAAAGATTCTTAAACCAATTAGTGAAGTAGTTTACCAGTTGAGCTTGCCTTTAAGTAGGGGTAGGAGTCTTAACGTTATCCTTGTGTCTCCGCCAAGAATATCACCCAGAATTTAGTCGTATGCTTTAACCAGAAGAGATAAGGAAGAGAAAAGATTCCAGATCCAACCATTATACCGTAGATTGAGGTTCTAAAACGAGTTGGAAAAGTGGCTTATTAAGTCGGATTTACCTTCAAGTATGGACAAGGTCCATAACATCTTCTGTGACGGCCCCACCTTCCCCTAGGGCGTACTCCAGGGTTCGGCGGGTCGCCTGCCCAGCTCTCGCCGGGACTCAGTCGTTCACTACATTCCTTAAACAGATTACAATATAAATCTCAAATATAACTCAAATGTCCCAATATTTACATATCAAAAGCGAAGCGTCCACGCTTCTACTACGCCACTCTGATCCATGATCCCAATTCTTATACAAGAAGAATTCCACAACAAAAAAATCACAACAAGCCTTCCTTCGCCACGAGCCCTGTGGAGGGGAATAAAATAGTTTTGGGGTGAGCTAGAAGCTCAGCGAGTAACCAGTAAAATCAGTAATTAAATCGGTTTAACAATATTTCATTTCAATGATGTCATAAATCAAATGATAAGTCTAGAAACAATTACAACATTTACAAAAACATTAAATATGGAGTATCAATAATTCAAGAAATATGTACAATGGAAAACGATAGTAACACATTCATTAAAAGGATACGGCTCACATGGAGCTATTCGTTCGTTCGTTCGTTCCCCTGACATTTCCCTTATTCCTCCAATTATTTGAAAATTTCATTTATATAAATAAACCATCGTTCATCTTTTTATTCGTTCATCCCCTTTCCGGACGTTGACCGGACTCCACCCATCCGGACGTTGACCGGACTCCACCCATCCGGACGTAGCCGGACTACAAGGTAATACTTGAGTATACCAAATTCACCCAGGGTCACCATATCGCCCGACCGAGTCCGCTTCTGGCTCGAGTCGATCGGTAACAAAGGGCAGTGGCCAATTCAGCCAAACGGCTTACATTCATACGCAACTAGCATTTCAATATTAAATCCTTGAAAATTACACAATTATTTAGGTCGAGTGCGATAAAGTACACACTCGCCTAGAAAGCTCGTTTTGGAAATCATTCAAAGCACTTAACACGTTATCAATCAATAATACAAGTCATGAAGTCAAGAAAATATAGCAAATAAGGAACACTCACATGCAAGCACGCATGATATGCAAGAAAACAGTTCGAAAGTAACTTTGGAAACATTTTAAAGGTAAATAATGCAAGAAAACGGTACAAAAGTAACTTTGGAAACAGCTCAAAAGTAAATAAGGCAGGAAACGGTTCATAAATAATTTCAGAAATAGTTTGAGGTCACTCACCTCCATGGCTCAGAAACCATCCATCATATATCATTGCCTTGCTCAAATCCAAGTCTTAGATCACAAACTCAATGCAAACAAGTCCTTTAAAAGTTCGGACAGCACTTCCCCTAAATTTGCTTACTTTTCCA